CGGACCTTTGAGTCTCGTTCAGCAAAATGAACGAATCTTTTTTCGAGTCATTTCGTTAATTTTAGCAAAATATAATGAAAGTGTTACGTTTTATTTCCCTAACACGTCTACTACTTATGCAAACGTTGCTCACACTACAAACAATACAAAACTGCTATAAGAGACAGAAAAGATTAATTCATTGTTTACCTGGGTCTTCAGCGAATCGTTCAAAAACGACCCAACACTAGTCAGAGAGTGTTCGGCGAGTGAAAATATATCTGACCTAAACTTACCTCCAACTCACTTAACCTCCAACTCACACACTGGCGAGTAAAATCTGAGAATTTATTAGCAGTTGGCTAATATTAGACATCATTTAGTCGCCCAGAGTGAAGATTTAGTCGCATATGCGAGTGATTTACTCGCAATGTAGAGGGTTGGGTAATATAAATAAATTGGCTCGTTTAGAAGAGAAAATGTGAATGTTGAGGTAGTGGAGCTCACAGGACTTTCACCAAACTTACTGAGGAAGATTTTTATTTCTAACTTGTAGATATTTTCTGAAGGACAGTTTGAAGAACACCCCAAAATGAATTATATTTTTTTAGCACCAATTTTAGTAATTAGTGATTGGGGAGGCAGTTTGATTAATTGTCATGAAATAATGCATGGGCCTAAAAACAAACAGGTTAAGCAAAACCTAATTTATTATTTAGTCTTTCATTTGATTTTTCGGTGAACTCAGACCGTGATATTTTTTGTCAGTTTTTTCCTCTCTCTTTGCTGTCTCTTCCACAGGTGTATGGGGATATAGAGTACGCTATTATTATAAGGAATAAGACCACGGGTGAAAGCAAAGGTCTGGGTTACGTGAGATTCCACAAACCTTCGCAAGCCGCCAAAGCCATAGAAAACTGTGACAAGAGTAAGTCTGTCGTTTTCCCTACTTGATGACTTTCTTTCAGATGCATTTGTAAGTTGTCCGTCTCTTGCAGCGTTCAGAGCTATTTTAGCTGAGCCCAGAACCAAAAATGCGTCAACAGACAACGACTATTTCAGCAACCCCAGATCGGAGCACTCTGGAAACGATCCAGGCTCCAACTCGTACACGTTTGGTGAGTATCTAGTCACTTCAGGTTTGGTTTCCGCCCATGCTTTTGTGTGGAAATGGCAGTGCCGTTTTTGGATGCCTGAGGGTTTAGCTTGATCGGTGCGTGATTTCCTGCAGCACATGAGTCCAGCAGCTACGCCTCGGGGGACACGTGGAGCTCTGACGTCATCACGCGGTGCCTGCTGGTGTCGTCCCGGGTCGCGGTCACGCAGGAGCAGATCTGCGGTCTGTTTGACCTGATCCCGGGGATTGATTTCTGTGAGATGCAGAGAGATCAGTACGGCTTCAGCAAAGGTTATATATACCACCCACTGCTCTACAATGTTTTCTCTACGCACGACCTTACTAAGGTTTTTTTCCCAAAAATTACAATTTTATCATAGTTAATTCACCATGAAATATAATATAAGTAGTCCATACGACGTGTGGATTATACACTACCATTAAAAATGTTGGGGTCAGTTTTGTTTAAAATAAATTAATACTTTTACTCAGCAAGGGATGCATTATATTGATAAAAACAATAAAGACTTTTACAATCTTTCAAAATATTTCTGATTCAAATTAATGCTTCTTTTGAACTTTCTAAGCAGTTCTCATTGGCAAAAGAATTCGCATTGGCCAGTAAATCTTTTTATTTTATTCATCAGACTTTTTTATAGTTATATTTATTTTTATATCATATATTTTAACCCTTGTGCTGTGCTGAAAAACCTTTACCTAATTTGGTGTTCCCTGCATTTTGAAAAATTGCTTGTAAATAAAATGCAATATTGTCACCAAATCTTGGATTTAATTATTTTATTTATTTATTTATTTGTTGGTTTTGTATTTCTTTTTGGAGCTGATTGGTTGTTGCCCTCATAGATCTAAGCTTATATACCTCAGTTTTTGAGTGAAAAAAACCAACAACTTTATTTGTGGATTTTTTTTGGCAATATTCACTCAAAAACTGAGTTGCATAAGCTTGATTAATGAGGCCTACGATTAATTAGTTCTCAAAATGAATACAAAACCTGTGCTAATTGAAAGAGAAAAAAAAACAAGTTGACGATAAGAAGATTTGGTGATAATATAGGATAATGAAAGATTTACAAGCGATTTTTAAAAGCCTGGTCAGTTTTGCTGATAGAACATTGAATCCAATATTTGGTAATAATATAGCATAACGAGACATTTACAAGCAATGTTTTGTAGGCTGGTCATTTTTGACAAGGGACAAAAAAGTATAAAAATTATCTAAATTTTGGGGGGAATTTGTTATACCCTCTGTGAGCAAATTCAGTAGATTTTTGTCCAGTGTGATAACATTGACTAGCATTTTCGAGAAAAAGGAAGTTGCCTTTGTGTCAAAAAGACTGGAACACAACATGAGGCTCAAGAAGATATTTTACTTCTCGTTTTACTCCGGTTTTCACGCTTTCCCCTACTAGCTGCAGCAGGATGCTTTGTTTTCAGGCGGGACAGTGACGTCACTGCATACCCTCTATAGAGCGACTCGATCCATGCCCTGATTATTAAACACTCTTTGCTGTCAAACACTCATTCAGAGTCTTCAAGCGTAAGCGCTCTAATGCGGTCAGAGGACACAACATGCAGTCAGAATACATCTGCTTTAAACTTATTCTTAGCCTACGACTCAATCACTGGCATCAAGTGAAGTCTGACAATTTATTAGTCAGTGGCTAATGACAGACATGATTTAGTCTCCTGGCACAAAGTTTGCTCACAAATGCGAATGATGTACTCGCAGTACAAATAATCCTGAATAAATGCATCAGCATGTTAGAATGATTTCTGAATCATCACAGGAATAAATTAAAAATATAAAAAATATATTAAAACAGTTATTTTAAATTGTAATAATACATCACAATATTACAGTTTTGACGATTTTTGATCAAATAAATGCAGTCCTGGTGAGCAGAAGAGACTTATTTCAAAAACATTTAAAAATCTTACCAACCACAAACTTTTGAACTTAAATGTATACATTAAATATATATTAAAGTTAGGTTTGTTCCTCAAACAAAGCCATCATATGACTTCAGAATGCTTTCACAGATGGAAGGGAGTCATGAGAGTTTTTAGCGACATAATGGAAAGGGTAAATGAGTAAAAGTGTCCTTTATCTCACAGTATGTGTGTGCTCTACAGGTCAGGTGGTGGTGCGGTATAATAACCTGGGCTCAGCGGTTTATGCTAAAGAGAAGCTGAATGGGTTTAAGTATCCGCCTGGTAACCGTCTCTCTGTAACTTACATAAACGATGGAGAGGACAGGACGAGGTAGAGTCCACTTTACATTCAACTCAAAAGTACATACATGCTGCTTCATTAAAAATGCATTTTGATTCCACAGATCCTCGTTAGCATTCACTTATTATAATTAGCTTGATGAATTCATTATTGCTTAAAGGGATAGTTCATCCAAAAATGAAAATTCTGTCATCATTTACGCAGCTTCAAGTTGTTCCAAACCGGTATGAGTTTCTGAACATAAAAGAAGATATTTTGAAGAAACGGTTGATGGTAGCCATTGACTTCCATAGTATTTTTTTCCCCTCCATACTATGGAAGTCAATGGATACAACTGTTTCTTCAAAATATCTTCTTTTATGTTCAGCAGATGAAAGTGACAGTGAAAAGTGACATGTGGCCAAGTATGGTGACCCATACTCGGAATTAGTGCTCTGCATTTAACCCATCCAAAGTGCACACACACAGCAGTGAACACACACACACCGTGAACACACACCCGGAGCAGTGGGCAGCCATTTATGCTGCTGCGCCCGGGGAGCAGTTGGGGGTTCGGTGCCTTGCTCAAGGGCACCTCAGTCGTGGTATTGAAGGTGGGAGAGAGCGCTGTAAATTCACTCCCCCCACCTACAATCCCTGCCGGTACGAGACTCGAACCCGCAACCTTTGGGTTACGAGTCCGACTCTCTAACCTAGTCTAGTCTAGTCGTGGGGAAGTCGTGAAACTCAGCTAATTAAAGAAACTCATACAGGTTTGGAACAACTTTAGGGTTAGTAAATGATGACAAAATTAAATTTTTGGGTGAACTGTCCCTTTAACCTGCCTCTTCTGTTACATATGGGGCTGTGAGGAATACAGCCAAAAATCCACAGGAAATAGTACACCGTCTAGGTGCCTTTAGGTTACCGTTTTTAACACACTTTCATTTGGGTCAAACTATTATATCGTTAGAGACAGTTTTAGATGCACAATATTAAATATGAAGCTGTAGCGTATCCAAGTGCAGGTTTTATTTGTTGTGTTGTCTGTGTTCAGTCCCATGGGGAAGATGGCAATGCAGCTTGTGGCCGCTCAGATGATGTCTATGGTGTGGAACGGCCCTTCTGGTGCACAGCTAATGAAGACCAGCACGGTGGTGGGTAATGTGTTCGTACACAATTTCTTAAGATTAGTAAATTAGTCTCTAAATTAGTCATTTGTTTAGAAATTCTAATTTTGTGTTCCATGGAAGACAGAAAGTCATACAGTTCTGGAACAAATAAATATTTTCATTATTGGGCAACTATTCCTTTATAAGCCATAGGTATCGCATTACAATTTTTGTACATGCTATTTTAGTTACATGATAATCAGTGATAACTCATATATGCCAAACATACACTACCTTTCAGAAGTTACAAAAACTATCTTTTGCCATCACAGGAATTAATTCCATTTTAAGATCTATTAAAATCACAGTTTTCACAGAAATATTAAGCTGCGCAACTGTTTTCCACATTGATAATAATCAGAAATGTTTCTTGAGCAGCAAATTAGCATATTAGAATGATTTGACTGGAGTAATGATGCTGAAAATTCTGCTTTACACCACAGGAATAAATTACATTTTAAAAATACATTCAAATAGAAAACAGTAACTTTAAATTTGAATACTTTTTCACAATGTTACTGTTTATACTGCATTTTTGATCAGATAAATGCAGTCTTAGTGAGCATAAGAGATTTCTTTAAAAAAAAATGTTTCAATCTAACCGACCACAAACTTTCGAATGGTGGTGCACAGTTTGCTGCTTATTGCTAAAAGATCCTTTTCATTTTACAAAAAATCCATCCATTAGGCTATTACAAAGTGATAGTTCACCCAAAAATGAAAATTATTTATAATTTCATAATTTCCTCATCTGTCCTTTTTTTTTTCTTCCATGGAACACATTTTTTACATATTTTAGCTATTAATATGGTTATTTTTGTGGGGTTTTTGTCCAATAGAATGTGTTCTAGAAAAACCTAATACCACCTGCGAATGTCTAACAATAGCAAGTATCAAATCATGCACTGTCTCTCATTCCACCTCTTTCACTATGTCATGAATCAGTATATTATGGACACTAGCAAGTGCCTTGATCCACTAAATCCTGGGACAGTGATGACTCGGTTTCCTGCAGCATGATAATGTAGTGACACATAAAATAACTTTGTTGCTTTATGCTCCTTCTGGGGTGATATTTGTTTGTCGTGCATCTTTGTTGTTAAAGAGCACAGCGTCATCATGATATACTATGTGCTCGTCCTCCATTTACATTGGCTTGAGAAACATGATGAAAACATGATGTTGTTGGAGATCAGAAGTCATCAAACTGATTGTTGACAGATGTTTATTGTGTCCTGTGTTCCTGTAGGGCTACACAGCGGCCCCTGTACCTCAGAAAGCACGTGTGCAGACAGATGTAGCTCTGCCTCCTCTGAAGAAACTGGTGGCGTCTGACAGCATGGTGAAGGAGAGGCTCTTTGTCATCTTCAACCCCTCGCCTCTGCCTGTGGATGTGCTGGAGGACGTGTTCTGGTGTGTGTGTCTTCATGATTGATTTACACACTGCCTCTGACAGTGTTGGACCGATGTAGTGTACTGTGTCTGAGTGAATGTGTATATTTTCCTTAAGTTTTATTCCGAAATGACATGAACATACATATACACACACACACGG